TTACGGCCATATCACGTTGGGACATCGATTCCCGTACGATCACCGAAGTTAAGCAACGTCGAGCCTGGCCAGTACTAGATGGTTGACCGCTTGGGAATACCAGATACTGTAAGTTTGGATGCGCGGATAGTATAATGAGATTACGGCCGCATCACGTTGAAATACCGGTTCCCGTACGATCACCGAAGTAAAGCAACGTCGATCCTGTTCAATACCTAGATTGGTGACCGCTTGGTAATACCAGATGCTGTTATAATGAATGTATGAGTAGTGTAACAGATAATGGCTAGGAATTTTTAATCGGAGAGCCGAATACCATTTGTGTTCGTTATAATTATTTACGCGCAAATACCCTTGGGAAAGATATGAATCCATCTCTTCTTCTCCCCCAACTATGGGTTAATTAGTAAAACTTGTATTACTAAAACCATTATTATCTGAAGAAAATAAAATTGCGTACAAAATATTTAAATTTTGGGATTATATAACTCATAGAGTTTGATATGCCGCTAAACAAAAACAACCAACCAACAAATTGGGTGTGCGGGTGGTGTAATGTATAATGGCTCTGGATTGTTAATCGGAGAGCCGAGTTCCAATTCCCGTTAGGTTCATTATATTCACTTACGCGAAAATACCTTTGGGAAAGCTATGAATCCAGCTGTTCTCCCCAGCTATGGGTTAACTAATAAGGCTTGTATCACTGAACCATTATTATCTATAAAAAAAACAAATTCTTACAATCTAAAAATATTTTCTGGCTTTAAATAACCTGCAAAAGGTTGATAAGCTGTAGAAAACGAATCAATAAATCAATCATCCCGAAAATGGAGTACTTCAGCCATATATGAGATGGCGCTACCCAGTCTTCATTTTCTCGTCTTGATAGAGTCCAAAAGCGTCTACTTGGACTTGTGGGTGATGATTTTTTTTCAATTACAAACCCTCCCTTACAGACAAAACGTTGCAAGCCTATCGGTACTCAACTGATATTTCTATGGAAAATGTACAGACGAGTTACATTTCTTAGTTCTCCCAACTCTAACCCTTCCAGCTATGACCTGACACACAGCGTACATTGAGTGGTACCACCCGTATTCCCTTCGTATCTATTTAATTAGGAGTATGTCCCACTCGTATAGCTTCTCCCCAAGAACTTTGTGGAACAGACTTCCGAGAGGATGCTTTCCTGACCACAACAATCTTAAACTCTTCAAATGTAGGTCACCGTTATCTTTCTGACAAATCCGTCCGTTCTGTGTAAGACAATAAACTACATCGAACAGCAAGGCCTCTGATCAGGGGGGCTTTGTGGAGCGTGGAGCCACCTTTTAATTGCTGGTGTTTCCAGGTCTACCCTGACCCGGGGTGGTAGTACTTGTTAGGGTCCCAGCTATGGGAAAATAGTTAACCCCTAAACTAGAGTCAAAACACTATGAAAGTTTAAAAATAGGTTTTAATACCAGCAATAGGTTTTTGTAAAAAAAAAAAAAAAAATTACCAGCAAAAAATTTTTCAAGAAAAAATTATTACCCGCAATACATTATTACCAGCAATAAAAATCTTGTCGACATTAAATAACCCATTGAGGTTGATATACCGTAAACAAAACAAACCTTGGACCGCTCACACCAATACGACCTTCAATGACACTCTATCTTAAGTAGACCTCGGGCCTTGTATAGGGTAAACATTAGTTAAAAAAACAAAGAACCAAAAAAAAACGGTTTATAATCTTTAACGTGTTGGACATATTGTTCTAGTCATGATGCTATAGATGTTATCAGAGACACAATGTTTCAGTCATATATATTCTGGCTATCTTTAAGTGTCCACTGTTTGGTTGATATGGAACATCTGTTGATTACTGTGTTACTTTTCTCCCTGTGATGTCAGTTCTTGTCTGTTCGTGACAGTATACCAATGTATACTGTTACACTGATCCAGGGATTGAACTCACAGTGACGTGATAACAGCAACATAGGTTAAACCAATGACTATATCAGCTAAACCATTAACGAATATTATTTGTTTTAAGAGACAAATTTAAACACAAAATATTTTAAAATTTTATTTCTAACAGCAAAAACAACAATATCATTATGATACAAAATGATACTCATTAATTTTAAGATACGAATTTAAACAAAGTATTTCAAAGCTTTATTTCAAACAAGTAACAAAAACAATATTATTATTGTTATTATTATATAAAATATTATCATTAGTGTTAAGATAAAAATTTAAAAACAAAGCCTAGCGGTTTAAAGCACGCTGGATCATAAAGGAGTCTTTCCCACAAAGGAAGACGCAGGTTCAAACCCTACCGGCGGCCACATTTTCTTTACTAAGAATCCTCGAGTGCACAGGCCGGTAGACATAATACACACTTTTTAAAACAACAACAAAAATAATAATAAAAAACAGGAACGGGGCGTCTATTTCAAACATAAGTATCGACTAAAACAGCATTTGAAGTTTTATATATATATATATATATATATATATATATATATATATATATATATATATATATACTGTTTATACGTTATTTTTATAGATACAAATATTTAAGTAAATCTGTTTATAATAAACAGTATTAATAACACTTACGGGCTTGAATGTCCGAGAAATTTTCATAAAAGATATGTGTCCTCTGACACACACACACACATATATATATATATATATATATATATATATTTAGTTGGATAGATGTGTTGTGACCCTGGGTTTAAAGCGATCGTCAGACAAACTGACAAATTGTCTGACGATCGCTAAAGCGTGAAACCCAGGGTCACAAACTCACATCTATCCAACCAAATATGTTAGCTCTATCTCTGATATTGAGCGCTTTCTATAATACCGCGCATATAATATATAAATAATTATACATATATATATATTTATTTATATTTATATTCACTTTTCACATGTATGTATATATATATATATATATATATATATATATATATATATATATATATATATATATATTATATACCCACACACTTTTGATTAAAATAGATGTGATTACGTATTTCGCTATTCAAGTCTTCATCAGATTCAAAACGAAATAAAGAAATTTGTGTCTGTTTAAATAATGAATGAGTAATTTTTCTCTAAGCTGACATTTCTCGTGATTAAAGAAGAAAGAAAATGAGTGACTTAAAAAAAAAGCCGTTAGTATTTATTCAATATCTTTTCTTTATAATTCTTACTTCATATCGAAAGTTGTCAATATATTTACCTAGCCGTTTTTTTTTTTGTATCGAATCAAAGGGAAACAGTCATCTTATTTTCAAAATGGCTCGGAAGCGAGAAATTCATATAGCCTTTCCTGAAATGAATCCCAGGCAAGTCCTCGTCCAGTCCTTCAGAATGGGATGAAAGTAAAAGTTTTGTATATGTTTTTGGTTTGTCCATGTGTTTTCTTTGTCGACAATTTCTGCATCTAGAGGAACATGAAGACAAATGGATTTTGCGGCTTAAAACACTTCGTCCAGACGGGCTTAACCATAAATATAACAACATAGATACAATTAATATATAACCCCAATAAACTAAGCCCTACCCACACTTCTCACCCACACAAGACAGGCATACTTACAGAGGTGTTGAGGTCTCATACTTATACACACACTCGTACAAATATATACACATACACACATCACACACACTCCCAAAGAGCTAAAAGATAACATACATTTAACGCACACATCCCATTCCCAGCAATCAATAAAGCTGTCAAAATGAACAAGGAGGGTATTCTGAAAGTCAGGAATCTCCCCATTCTCTATCTTAAAAACAACTTGAAAGAGGCCGTTTGACCAACACAAGGACTGACTAAAATTAACGATAGAAACAAATGAAAACTACAGATAAAGTTCAATTTCTTCAGAAAAACTCATTCACTCCTGTAGTTCAAAGCTACTAACAAACATGAATTTTTCACCTGATGATGGCCATGCTGGCCGAAACTAGTCGAGGAAAATAATTGAAATAATAAAGAAAAAAAATATTAAAATATTACGACCCAGTGTATCTGAAAATTTTAATTATTTTTTATTGTTCAACTCGCCATATATATATATATATATATATATATATATATATATATATATATATATATATATATATAGAGAGAGAGAGAGAGAGAGAGAGAGGGGGGGAGAAAGAAACCAACGTAGATTGATAAGCAACCAATAAGTGTGCTGCGTATATTTCGATGCTGTTGAAAATATAGGAATAATTTTACATATTATCAACAACTAACAAATATCATCTCGACAGACTGTACTTAAAATAGGTCAATTATATTATTTTTTTTTCGGTCGGAAGCAAAAAATGATTAAAGCAAAAGAAAAACAAATATATTGAAAATTGATTTTTTTTTTTTTTTTTTTACCTCCGTACATTTTTGTAAGGGAGGCAAAACAGCTGTGCGAAACACTAATTTCCAATATCTATTTGGCCACACGATGCATACTGGACAATGGAGCTATAGGATCGGCAGATCCTGTTGCAACGGCTGCACCGGAAGGTTTGAGAGTTTGTTGAAAGGAATGATGAAATGTCTCTGCACTTAAGCGGCCCATTTTCACTTTTAACCCATTGAATCTCGAGAGACTTGACCATTTCCTGATACCCCATCCCTTGAAGATAAGTAGAGAGAGAGAGAGAGAGAGAGAGAGGGAGAGAGAGGAAACACTGGGTGTTCAATAATTGTGGCCTTGTACCATATCTAAGCTACACATACTACACCTTATCCTTTCACTATACCTTATCTTTATTCTGCCAACATCTAAAAAATGAGGTACCTCCAACATGTGTCCCATGCCAAGAATCTTTTACAGATATCCTACTAAATTGCCATAATCTCCGACGAATCCGTAGTAAACACGACAAATCGGATTACCTAAAGGATTTATTCGAAAATACTAATCCAACATCATAAATTTCATTAAAGAAATTGGGATTTACAGAAAAATCTAAAGAAAAAAAACAATGCATTTTTGAAAAACAAATATTACCAGTTACATATTTTTGAAAAACAAATAAAAAAAGAAAAATATACATTTTTTAAAAAAAGAAAAAATATTACCAGCGATGCGTAACTGAAAGAAAATTATTCACAGAAATAGAATTTTTGAAAAAAAAATTTTACCAGAAATAAATTGTTTGAACGAAAAAATATTACCAGAAATAGATTTAAAGAAAAATATTACCAACAATAAAATTTTGTCGACATT